GGGGGTAACTAATGCCTACTTTATGCTTATGACTGACGTGGCTGAAAAAATAGCTACCCCACCCCTACACTGGTACATGTACCTACATCATGTACATTCATGTACACGTGTACATTTACTGGAACATCTGGTGCATGTACCTGTACAACTATGCAATCATATGATACATAATGCATATCAGAGTTGATACAATGTACCTCCCCACTTCAGCAACTATTTCAAGAACTGTTAGTATGCCCTTTCCTACTATAGTATTTACATGTGGAATTGATGTTCATGCACTGTATGGTAATATTATTTTATTACTCTGTATCCAGCTCAGCCTGATCTACAATGAACCACTTTCCATAAGGTGTTACATGACCTCTATGAACCATCTGTCCTTAAAAAATACAGGAAGCCCTCAGGTAGGACAAAATGAATGTGATTCTAGCTTTGGTATACAATTTTATATGCTAATACATTTTAATGTCACACTCATTAATTATCAAAACACATGTACTTAATATGTGGACATTCAATTATGAGGGTAGTCATTCAGTTTTTGCATAGTGTGTACTTAACAATGTTTGGGACTTAAAATGTTATCCTTTTCAAAATTTGATTGAAAAGTAACCACACATACTTAATTTGGATATTAGTTACTTTATATTCTGTTTAAATTTTCCCCAGCATTTTTTTTTTCAAACATAATTAAACATAATAATAAACACAATAAAACATAATTAAATTTATGAATCTTATACCTCTAAAATCTTTTTCAATAAAGATTAATAAAATAGCAATATTGTACTTCAATTCGATATCTTGAAAACATTCATGCAACACCCCAGGAACCACAAGAAAGTGTAAAACGAGGCAGAGAAGATGAAGTTATGACAGAGTTGGTGCGTGACTTTTTAGACCCTGCCCAGTTCTACCAAGCAGTGAAAAATATTGGGGTAGACTTCTTCTGTGGTGTGCCAGATTCACTGCTCAAAGGTCAGGGGTTGTTGTATTGTTCTGTATACATGTGTACATGTTGATTTAAAGTTATAACAGTAATCCACAGAGAAAAAAACTGTGGAACATAATATTCTTTACATATATTTCTTCTTGCAACTAGTACGGTAATGTGTAGTGTATAAAATTAAAATGACAAAGTTATTCATCTGATCCTGACCTGAATCAGAGCAAGGCATTAAGATTTATTGTACACAGAAATTGACAATTTTGCTGCCTTAATGCATCTCAAGCAAAATGTTTAATAGTACATTTAGACACATTAACATACACATTAGAGAACGCCATGCTTTATATCAGTGTGCTTAAATTATCATTTTAAATAGTTTAAGAAAATGCATGTATGAATTTATTTCTCCACAGATTTTTGTGCCTATGTAACAGCCAATACATCCAAGGAGCACCACATCATCACTGCTAATGAGGGTAATGCTGTGGCATTGGCGGCTGGCTACCACCTAGCTACTGGGAAGTATGGCATGGTATATCTACAGGTATACAGTGTATTGTGGACAAATCATTTCCGCTTTGATGTTTGTTAATAAATAAGTTAATTAGAAATAATTGAAGTCTGCATTTGTTTTGAGATTGGGATCGAAAGACGCCCCATTTTTCAGCTTGAGTTTCAAAAAGAATACCTATATGCTACATGTATCTTAGTTCCAATAAGTATATTTAGTTATACCACTCAGATACATTAGAAATACATGTACATGTACTAGAATAGATATGTGTGACTACACAGACTATACTTCTGCAGTGATCTATGTTTAATATTTTTCTGCATAATACATGTATATGATCATCTTAAACTATTACCTACACTTAATTTGTCATGTTTCTTTTAAGAAAATGTGGTACACTGTACATGTGGGTCCTGTATTATTAAAAGGTTTTTAGAGATTATAGATCCAGGCCATCCTCTTAAATGTATGGATTGTTTAAGATAATATACTATGGTAGTACTAGTACAGTATATATATATATATATATATATATATATATATATATATATATATATATATATATATATATATATATATATATATATATATATATTTAAAGAATCATGGTGTTGATTGAATATTTTCACAAATTTTGACAAAATTCTATAAGAAAATAGTGTTGCATGAAGAAAGAAAATTAATACTTCGCATTGTATAAATATCGTAGCAACAAATAAGTGGTCAGTGTGAAATATGTGCCTATCTTTATAGGATACGAAGGTTAATTCTGCTTCATATATAGTCTGCAATTCAGCTGATGATTGCATGTTAAATGTTGTCTTTTTTAATTTATCACGTAATGTCCTGTCTTTTTAATTAATTGTAGAATTCCGGGTTAGGCAACATAGTCAGCCCAGTGCTATCTCTGGCTGTGCCTGAAGTCTACTCTGTTCCTCTGTTACTACTGATAGGCTGGAGAGGAGAGCCAGGCAAGAAAGATGAACCCCAGCACCAAGTGCAAGGCAAAGCCTCACAGAAGACCCTGGATGCAATAGGAGTGCCATATTCCATACTGCCAGATTACATAGAGGGGGCACAGCAGGTGAAAATGCTGATTAGATAAAATGCAACAGAAAATCAGCAATTATACAATATTTGATTTGATTTGCTATCATGCTGAGTCAAGAGAACTACATATACATGTACCTTAGTTATAGATAAACATGATTTTGCATGATATCAAACAATTATTTCATACTACAGTTTAAGGTGTTCATAAAATTTGTGCACCAGCATAGGAATAATAAATTAAAATTTTATAACTAATTGCATGGCACTTATATAAGTATACATATACTCAATATGCATGCAGCTTTACCTGAAAATTGAACAAAACAGTTTTGACTTTTTTTAATGTTGAATGGCTAAATGTTGTATATAGAATACATAATCATGGAAATAACATCATACAGATTTATTCAGATTAATATTAAATGTTACTATTTTTCCATCTATCTTAGGTCTTGTCTTCAGCTAAGCAACATTTAGAGACAGTTAAAGGACCATATGCCTTGCTGGTTAAAAGACAAACATTCCTGCCATATAAGCTTCCACCAGATGCATCAGATATGTGAGTGGTTTTCTTTTTGAATTCCTGGCCTGTATGATAAAAAGATGAAATGCACAAGCACAATTTAATTACAAAAATTTTGAAAAAAAATTTCCAGTGTTTTTTTAATGATTTAAGAGGAGAAAATCACCTGGGCATAGATGTCAAAAACAATCATATTTTTTCTTTATAGTCTTAGAGACATGGAAGGTAAAGGTATGTCAATTTTTTCTTGACTTCTTGACTTCAGATTCCCACTGAACAGGGAGGAGGCACTGAAGGTAATAGTGAATGCGTTAGGTGAGATGGATGTGACAGTGGGCACAACAGGGATGCTGTCCAGAGAGCTTTTTGAATACAGGTACGTGTTGAAATGTTTTGCCCATTTGAGTAATTCATGTAGGAAAATTTCAATGTTATCTCAGTAGGATACTTACTGTATCAAAAACTAATTAAACTGAATACTAATTTGATAGCAATTAGGAAGCAATTCATTGTAATACGACCCTACTTGTACAGTGCAGTTGAATTTCAATTTGCTTGAATGTGAAGTTAGTTTGGAAGATGAACTAATGTATTACCATTTTATTGTGTGTTTAAAACATTTTACTGGCTGTTCAGTTTTATTGTACCACCAGCGTTAGCGCTGGCTGTACACATGGTTTTAGTCCCGTCCGGTCCGTTCCGCCGGCTCCTGCGGCTCTGCCGCCATGTTACCGTTACCGCTTCTCCTCCTAGACGGTAAGGGCCCCCAGACCCATCTCTTGGATTTAGGTCACCTATAATCTCAACTCGTTCCACGTAAAATTTGGGCTTTGTCGGTATTGGGGTCTAGGTGTGGCACTCATTGCAATGCACCCTTGTCCAAAAATGGCAAAATTAAATGCTAATTATTTACCCTACGGAAGGAATTATGGGAAAAATTTCTACAGACGGCTTTCCAAAAGTCATATGTGTAGATTTCAAATATGCCCTTGGATTTGACCTTTGACCTTTATTTCAAGGTCAAACGGGCCAAAATTTTCAAAAAAAT